AGATCTGATGTTCTGATGATGGTATCTGCACGTATGTTGCAAGTGTATGTTCCTAAAATTTTAGCTGTTTTAACGTATGTTACAAGTATTTTATTTGATGTTGCATATGTTACAGTGGCTATACACATATGTTGTAAGAGTATGTTCTAAATGTTTTATCTGTTTTTTAGACAAATATTGCAGCAAATGTTTCATGTTGCAATCGTTTGTGAATCGGGAAGCTAGCGCAGGCGCAGGCGGTCCTGTAGGTGCAGGCAGTCCCCGGCCCGCGGGCACGCGGGCACAGCAGCACCAGCAGTCACGGGGCGTAGCAGCACACGGGCACTTTCTTTCTGTTCAGCATTTCTTCCTCCTGATTGGATAACAGGTTTTAGGCTTCAAAAACTCTGGTACGTACGTACAGTGCTAAATAAATTATAGGAGAGTGGAGGATTAAAGAAAAGGCGCAGCAGCCAACGCGGTTGTCCGGGCGCTCGTCAAGATCCGGGCGCTAGCCTAACTGTTTGAGAAATGGAATTGGATTAAAAAGAAAAAAACGACATAAACAAAGTAGAAACGGACACAGAATTAGAGAATCATAAAAAACGACTACTTTTAGAGAAACGGAATTGGATTAAAGAAAAAAAACGACATAATTAAAGTAAAAACGGACACAGAATTAGAGAATCAGAAAAAACGACTGAAGCTAAGTAAAAACAATCGAGTGGGTTCGGGCCAAAAACAAAGCCAAGATCATCAATCTCTTTTCTTCACATTCGTATTTCATTTGGTCTGTGGTCTGTTAACACATGCGTGTGGATTTTCTTTTCTTTCAACCCGTGTTGTGTCCGATTTTCTAATGGCTTAGAAACAGTTTTTCTCATCCGATTTCCACCATCCTCGTAAGTAGGGAGGGTAGACAAGTAGGATAGGTTGGAATCCCTATGGGAAAGAATTGACCTCATCCCCTTCGTCTAATAGGAAAATTCCCCGTGGAGAATCAGAGATCAGGGCCCAATCGGCATCTTTACCTTTGTTTTCCCTCTTACACATGTCTAGTTATCTAAATTCTTGCCTCCTTTTCCCCTTCTCTAAAATGGTTTTTCTATTAAAGAGCTCTTCTGAAGATCTCTATAATTCTATAAGGAACTACTAGCTTTCAACTTTACGGTCTTTTCTTGCCTTAGAATGGTTAAGATAGGTTTTCACCAAGATCCACAAAAGTATTTCTGACATTTGACAGGACCTTGGACGTGTTTTCTTATATATATATATATATATATATATATATATATATATATATATATATATATATATAACTAATATTAAAGAGGTAAAATTTATCTCCATCTATTTTTTTAAAGAGGTAAAATCCGCCCTTTCTTAACTAACTTTGTGAATGTTGAAATAATCCGAGACACATCTACACTTCTACTATTTTATTACATGAATATATGTGGTTTCTTAAGATAACTTGAATAGGAATCCTAATCCAAATAGACTCCTTCAGTCATACGAGGCTTCTTGCCTAGAATAGCATGATCGAATAGGAATCCTACTCGAAATAGAAATAGAAAAGGAAATAAAAGTAGAAAGTAAGCAAATATAAAATAGACAATGCTATTTTTTGATGATCACGGGAATTGATCTTCGTCATCGCGTGCATCAGCTCATGGTTCAACTTTTGCGACCAGTTCCACACCTGTTAATTAAGAGCAAAAAAACAATTCTTCATCTTCTGTTGTCCGTCTAATTCGACTCTGATGATTTTCCCCTTTGTATTTTTCTAAGGCTACATGGATGATTTTCTCTGAGTGTTAATAACTTATGTCGTCCTTTGTTTCATCTGGGCAGAATCCTGAACGGACTCACGTACGATTTACTCTCTCACCATGCCATTTTTCCGATCGAACTCATGTTCATTTTACTCTCCCATTGTTGTTTTCCATCAAGGCCGATTTTTTATTTTGTTTCCTACGGTCATACATGCTAATTTTTCAGTTTTGTTTTTCATGATTTTCTGAACCATTTTTATCTCGTTCCAACAAAAATAATAAGTGTCAAAAACAAAGACCTTGACTCTTTCCTAAGAAGCAAAGATTCCTATCACTGAGTTAGTGATGTATTTTTAACTAATTAGGAATAAAACTTTTCATAGTGAAACTTGGTTCAGTGGATGGTCCAACTTATCAAATAGCGAGTTAAGGTCTTATAATATTTGTTGTCCAATCCAGACTAAATAAATTTATCTCTATGCAACGCAATATCCAAAATAGTCACCACATATAAAGAAAGACCAATTCTTGATCTGTCGATAAATAGCTAACTTGATACGAGTTAGAACAACTCGCATCTAACGATGATACGGAGTCCTATTACTATACGTGTTGACTCCCGTTGCAACGCACGGGCATATTTTGCTAGTATATATAATATGCGCTTTTGCTAGTATGTTTCGTTTCGTTTTGTCTTGATCTTCGACTTAAGACTAGTTATTAGTAGGAGGCTTCAACTTTTCCTTTTATATATAACTAATAAAAGGAAAAAATATTGTCTTATGAGCCATACTATTTCAGCGAACGAATAATGTTTTTCTCTCACAACGAATCAGCGAAAAGTACTTTCGGCTTTTCAGCAAAACAAACGGGCCATGTACCAACCTTATCACTAATAGAGCCCAAACGCTGGCCCACGAAGCGTTGCTCCGCCCACCTTATTGCTAGAGCGTAGAGCCCAGCACTCTGGACGGTCCAACTGCAAACGCCGGCCCAGCTACCTACCTTCGCCGCCGTCCTGCCTCATGCGCCTGGGAGACCGCCATGGCCAGGCTCGTGGCCTCTCGCATCCTCCGCTGGCGCCGCCGCCGCCGCCGCTGACTGCTGACCACCCTGCCGTCCCTGAACCCCGCCACCTCTCCCTCCCCCTGGTGCAATCTCCGGCTCTTCCTCCCTGTCCCCTCTCTCTGTCGCTGAAATGAGGTAAAAAAAAAAAAACTGAACCGATATATCGATCCTGCTCGATTGAATCCTGTGGAAGAAAGGGTAGTTTGGTTGGATGCTCCCACGACTCACCCTCACTTACAGAGGTTCTCTGCAGGTGCAGCTGCAGGAACACTGGAGCACATCGCGGCATTGAGGTTTTGCCTCCTCATCTCTCACCAGTCACTCACTTCTGATGAACTGTAGGAACTGGTACGCTTCTTTTGTATACAATATACTAGTAGTATTTTCATTTTCTAGACCTGACAAGGTTAATAGGTTATCCACTTGTTTTTTGTCCCAAATTGAATGTCACAAGTTAAACCCGGTGCCATTTACAATTCGAACTGCCCACGCTCTGATTCAGTGGACTCAAACTACGCTAATCATTGAACTGAATCCTGTGAGGTGGACTCTAAATTCTGGTAAGAACTTGAAACAAGGGGCAACGTAGGTCTGTATTCAGATTACTAACTATACACGCATCGACAGCTTGAAACAAGGGGCAACGTAGGTCTGTATTCAGATTACTAACTATACACGCATCGACAGCTTGAAACAAGGGGCAACGTAGGTCTGCATTCAGATTACTAACTATACACGCATGGAAAGCTTGAAACAAGGGGCAAGGTAGGTCAACATGATGATGTCCTTTCGTCAGCTCAAGATTTCTGGTGGAAGTAATTCGGGTAGTTAGTTTCATGTCATGATGATGACTTAATTTTCTGGGCATCTCGGCCACAGTAGGTATGTGCCAAGTAACGAACACGAAGCTCTGCATCGGCTCATCCTAAACAGAAATCTTTGCATAAGAAGGCTTGAATGAGTTCATGCCGGAGGCTGCTGTGTCAGCTCTGGTTGCTGTCCTGTAGTTACAATGCTTTAGTTCTCCTTGTATTGCTTCGTTCATGTAACCCTTGGTCACTTTACATTTTCAATATTACTTGTTTAGCTGTACTATCATATACTTTAATGCTTCTGTATGCATATACCCATTCGCTTTCACTCTCAAGATGCAAATGTATAGTGGATTTGGAAGCTTGAGTTTATTAATTAGGAGGATTAGTTTTTTCTCAAAGAAGGGCGGGTCTGGTGCAAGCAGTAGAGTCTTACCGCCTGTGACCGGAAGGTCCCGGGTTCAAGTCGCGGTCTCCTCGCATTGCACAGGCGAGGGTAAGGCTTGCCACTGACACCCTTCCCCAGACACCGCACAGAGCGGGAGCTCTCTGCACTGGGTACGCCATTTTTTTTAGTTTTTTCTCAAAGGAACTGCTCACTCTGAAGTTTAGAGAAGGGTTTTTTCATATTTGGATTCCTAGAAGTTTTTCCCCCTTTAATAAAAATTTATAGATTACCACCATGAAGAAAATTTAGAGACATAAAGTAGGCTTTCCAATATTTCAGAACTTTCAAAACATAAATTCCAATTGGCCTCTACAAGGTGTGGCTAGTGTCTATTCTTTCTATTATTATGGAACATGTGTTCTGAATGTCTTTTAACAAATAGCTTAGAATCTAGAGGACCAGTAAATGAATAAAAATAAAAGTAATGCAGCATGATTAGTAGCGTCTCCAGCAAAAACACTGGCACCTTGTGAGGCTGCTATTTTTGGGACAACTCAACCACTCTTTTGCTCCTTTTTGTCCAATTCTCCAGGCAACCTCACCCACAGATTCCTTTAATACTCCCTCTTCCATGATTTCATGATCATTTTCCATGGTCCCTAACTGCTTACTGCCTAGGATGCTGAGAATGCCAATGCGTTCTGTTTCCATCTATGCCATCCTTTTGTTTCTTTCATGTTCATTCAGCTCGATGCATCTATGTGCATCCCGCAACAGCCTTGTCCCCGGCAAGCCGCTCTCCCCAGGTAACACTCTTGTGTCCGATGATGGCACCTTTGCCCTGGGCTTCTTCTCCCCATCCAAATCCACCAAAAAACACTATTACCTTAGTATATGGTACAACAACATCCCGCATGGCCTTTTACCGTTGTGTGGGTTGCCAACCGTGCTGCACCAATCAGTGATCTTTTGTCTGCAATGCTCGCCTTGCACAGTAGCACAAACCTTGTCCTGTCTGATGCCAATGGCCGTGTCCTTTGGAATTCAAACAACAGCATTGCCATCAGTGCTTCACCTGCCACCACCGTCTCTGCAGAAGCCACACTAGAGAACACCGGAAACTTCATCCTCTTGAGCAACGTTAACCGCACCACACTATGGCAGAGCTTCGACCATCCCTCTGATACTCTTCTGCCTGGGATGAAACTCAGGATCAGCCACAAGATGCATCCAATACAACACCTCATTTCTTGGAATGGCCTGCAGGACCCATCCCCTGGGGTCTTCTATGGTGCAGACCCCAACAGCATTCAGCAGCAGTTCATCTGGAATGGCACAAGACCGCACCGTCGAAGCCCAGTGTGGACTAGCTATTTCCTTCTTGGGGGCTACATGGACAACCTTCATTCTACCATTTACATGGCGGTACATTGTGGCACCGATGATGACGTATACATGTCCATCAGCATGCCGATTGACAGCTTGTCTTTTCTGATTAGAATGGAGATAAATTACTCAGGCAATGTAAATATTCTAAGCTGGGACAGTAACATGTCAGTATGGACAAGCTTGTACATACAGCCTGCACATAAGTGCAATGAGTATGATTACTGTGGTCCTTATGGTTACTGTGACAACAATGGAACTGCCCCAACATGCAAGTGCCTTGATGGTTTTGAGCCAAATGATGATGAAGGATGGGTCAGCACAGGGATGTCGCCAGAAGACGGCACTAAGATGTGGTGGACATGGTTTATTGACCTTGCCACACATGAAGGTCCCTGATCATTTCATCTTCCTCCGGAACAGAAGCTTTCATGAGTGTGCAGCTGAATGCTGGAGCAACTGCTCCTGTGTGGCATATGCTCATGCCAACATGAGCACCAAAGGCATCAATGGTGATGACACAAGGTGCTTGATATGGACTGGGAAGATGATTGACATGGAGAGGTATAGCCAAGGAGGGGAGACCCTCTATATTCGGATCGACAAATCAAGCGGTATGATTTATTGCTATTAATTGTATGTTTATCTTCCTAGATAGGTTTTTGAACTCTTCCTGGTAAAGTGAAGAGCGATCTATATTTGTGAAGCATTAAACTAAAGGAGGTGTTGCATGAGAAATACTCGACATATAGTCTGTGGAATGGAAAGAATTTGTTGATTCTCCATGAATTAGTTTTTGCAGGTGACATGACAAAGACCAAAACCCTAGAAATTGCACTGCCAGCTGTGACAAGTTTCCTTGTATTCATATGCATAGGGGTTATTTGTACCTACTGGTTTAGAGGTAGACAAGAGAAATATTTTCTTCCCTTTTTATTTTCTTTCTCTAGTTCTTGCAAACTGGAGAAACTGTATCAAATTCCCTGTGTTCCTTTCAGACAAACAAGGAAGTACAGACATCCGGAATAGACTGATGCTAGGAGATATGAGCACTGCTAATGAAGTTGCTGGTGAAAGTGTAGAATTGTCATTATATAGCTTCAGAGAAATTTCCACTGCAACAAATAATTTCGCTGATTCCACCATACTTGGACAAGGAGGATTTGGTACTGTTTACAAGGTAAGCAAGGCTTGTGCTGGTAACCTTCAGTGGTTGGAGTGTAATTTCTAACGTTCCAGAACCTTTCATGTATTCAGGGAACATTGGGAGATAAGGAAATCGCTGTGAAAAGGCTTTGCAAAGATTCTGCCCAAGGGGCAGTAGAATTCAAAAATGAACTAGCTCTGATTGCCAGGTTGCAGCACAGAAACTTAGTTAAACTTCTAGGTGACTGCCTTCATGCAAATGAAAAACTATTGATTTACGAATACCTTCCTAACAAAAGTTTGCATGTCTTCCTGTTCAGTACATTCTCTTCACTTCTTGCAAAAGCTCAACATTTGATGAAAGAAACATGCACCACTGATAAGAACTTCATTTGATTCTACCCTTGACAGGTGCTGCAAGAAAATCACTGCTTGACTGGCCCACAAGATTCATGATAAGAACTTTATTTGATTCTACCCTTGACAGGTGCTGCAAGAAAATCACTGCTTGACTGGCCTTGTTTATCTCCACCAAGACTCAAGATTGACAGTGATTCATAGAGATCTCAAAGCAGGCAATGTGTTGTTGGATGCTGAAATGAACCCCAAAATATCTGACTTTGGTGTAGCCAGGAGTTTCAGTGTCAACGAACAACAATCAATCAAGTACCACTCGGTCGTTGGAACATTGTGAGTGATTTCATACGTGAAGTAATTTTGAAGCAACACACCATTGTTCTTGAACTAATTAGTTAAAATTGTGATGTGTGCTCATCTTCCAAAAAGTGGCTACATGGCACCAGAATATGCATTGGAAGGCATCATTTCTGTCAAATCTGATGTTTATAGCTTTGGTGCCATGCTTCTGGAGATTGTGAGTGGCTCAAAGGTCAGCTCGACAGGCCCAGTCACAGGCTCATCCAACCTTATAGCTTACATAAGTACTTTCAGGTTCTCAAAAGTTAAAACTTGACCCATATGAAATGCAAGCCTTGACGTGATCATTGACTCAGGCATGGAGATTATGGAAGGATGGAAACATGCAGAACTTGGTTGATCCATCGATTGTTGAGAGCTGTTCACTTGGCGAAAGTCTGCGATGTATCCACATCGGACTCCTGTTGGTGCAAGACAACCCAAATGCTGGTCCACTAATGCCATGGGTGGTCTCGAGCCTCGATAACGAAGGCATAGAGCTCCCACAGCCTAGGGAGCCTGTATACTTTGCAAGGAGGCATTCTGAAACTGGTGGAGCAGGAGCAGGACAAAGCAACATAAGTGATATGAGCCTCGGAACACTGGAGGGGCGCTAGAGGTGATCACGTATTTCCTCCGCAGATTTCAGCGCTTTGTACAACCATATCGAATAGAAACCAACACTGCTTCGTCTGAACAACTGTGTTACAAGGGTAATGCATCGCCTTTCAGCTGCAGTAGAGAATAACTGGAGAAAAATAAACACCTCACCATCCCTAGGGTTGAGTCACCCTTCATACAACTGTGTTACAAGTTAAGTCAAGTACAGCATATGCATCTGAAATTGTAACTATCCGTGTCCGGGTAGTATGTACCTCGGACAAGGTAAACTCGGCGTGTCTTGATGCCAGGCCATTTCTCGACATGTCTAGCTAAATGTTATCTACTCATGTTGTCCTGGCTGCTCTCATGTATTCCATCCCAGGTATCCTTTCTGCTCGTCCTCTACACATTTCGTAATCCGGTGCCTAAATTTGACCTGCTGTTAACATGTCACGTCTCAACTCTCAGGATTAGTTGTAGCATGAACCTCCACTGTGGCACTGGAGTAAGGGGTTAGGGAGGACTCAAAATGTCAACGGGGAATTCTCCGTCGGGGGTCACTGCCCCGTCCCCGCGGGGGCAAATTTCCCCCATCCCTGTCCCCGTGAAGGCTCGTGGGGAGCACTTCTTCCCCATCCCCGTCCCCGCTCGGGGATTTAATCCCCGCATCAACCGCACATAGAAAAGACTTGGTACCGTGTCCGTTAGCGAGCGACAAGAGCGAGAGGGACGGGGAGGGCGGAGCCACTAGAATCTTCGACCAGACGGAGGGGCGCCGCCGCCCCCATTGCCTGGGAAGCTAGGCGAGCACGCTGCCGTCGCGAGGGAGGAGTTGGGGGTCGCCGTACCAGGGACAATGCCTCAGGTGGCGCCGAGGAGGGCGTCGCCGCCCCCCAATCGCCTTGGGAGCTGGGTGGGCACACGGTCGTCGCCAGCCATGGAGAGATCTGATCGTGTGGAGGAACACGCCGCCGCCGGTCACACGGAGGAGGTCGAAGCTGTGGATTTGCACCACCACATCACGACCATCTCCACCACCACCATCAGATCCACGGCGGTAGGTGAGGAGGGCGCCGCCAGTCTCGCGGAGGAGGGCGCCGCCGGTTGGATCTGCCATGGGCTTCAAGAGTGGAGGAGGTGGGGCGCCGTCGCGGTCGCCGCCGCCACCGGATGGAGGGGAGAGGCCGCCGCCGCCGGCATCGGGTGGAGACAAGGGGGCTCTACCTCCATGGTTGTTGCTTGGGTGTGGTGTGAGGCAGCGGCAGCTAGGGGCGACGGGGGAGGGGATTGGGAATTTGGGAACGAATGGAAAGGATAAGGGTAGGGTTACAAATTGCCTTATATATGTACATAGGAATTGGGCCTTAAACATTTCGGGTCCCCGCGGGGAACGGGGACGGGGGCATGTATACCATCCCCGCCCCCGTCATACCCGATGGGGATGACTTTTTCCCCGTTTAATTCCCCATGGGGAGAAGATTTATACCATCCCCGTCCCCTAATGGGTGAATTCCCCGCGGGGAATCGGGGAATGGGGCCCCGTTGACATCTTTAGGGAGGACCCAGCTGGTCGGATAATTTATACTCACCAAAAAACTTTGGTGATGTACTGTTGAAGGCATCAGAGCTTAGTGTTCAACCATTAACATGGCAATAAGTCTCTTCATAAGGTTTTTAAGGCCACCGGAATTCTCCAGTGATGCACATAGGGAAGCAACGGAGAAAAGACAGTTGCCTAGAAGTTTTCGCAGAAGGTTCAGAGGGGCACCGGATTACTCCGGTAGTGCACCAAACAAAGCATGAAAGAAAAGGCTGGCCCAATGGTCGGCAATGGCCGGCACTAGAAAACTCCGGTGGGGTTACCGGAGCTTTCTTATGAGCGTTGCTCGTGAGTGAAAGGATCTATGGATGGCTAGAGAGGCATGAGTAGCCTAATTAAATTTTCTACAAGCTTACAAACACTGTCATTGGTGGTCATTTCTAGGTGAATGACAATGTGATTCATGAAAATCTGATTTGAGTTTGATCCAAACTCAGGGTTACTAGAGGTTGTGCTTGGGCTCCTCAAATTGGTGGAGAAGCTGGATCCAACCTTTAGCCCCTCGAGCTCCTTCTTGGAAGCTCCTCCTCCGAGCTCCAAAATGTTTAGGGAGAGAGAGCTCCTCCCTCTTCTATCCCCCAACCTCTTGTTGTGAGCAGCTCCTAGATGCTCTCCATGGCTTCTAGCAGCTGATGATGGCCTCCAATCCCTGCTCCTTCCTCCTCCCTTACCTTCTTCTTGCTCCAAGTGTGTGAGAGTACGTGTAGAGAGAGTGAGATGGATGAGAGTGGGAGTGTGAGAGTGGTCTGGTGCTCTGGTGTGTGCTTCTCATGAGCTGGACAGTTGAGTTGACTTGTGGAGGCAAGGGAGCTCCACAAGTGATAGCTCAACTCTGTGCATGTCATGTTCTGGCAGACAATCTGTCAAAACAAGATATGGTCTGACAAACTATAAGTCTGAAATGTTTCAGCGAAACGTTCCACGAGTGTGGCGGATGATCCGCTGGGACATGTAGTGCCTAGAATTATTCAGATTCTTCACATTTCAGTTTCTAATTTTTGGATTTCAAATGCAAATGATGCTCATATAATGATGATAATTATGAACAAGTCATGACCGGGTCATGACACTAATTACCCGCTCATGGTGTTACAAGCGTAATGCATCGCCTTTCAGCTCCTGTAGAGTATAACTGGAGAAAAAATAAACACCTCACATCCCTAGGGTTGAGTGACCTTTCATACAACTGTGTTACAAGTCAAGTACAACATACGTATGTGAAATTGTAATTGTCCGTGTCCGGGTAGCACGTACCTCGAACAAGGTAAACTCTGCCTGTCTTGATGCCAGGCCATTTCTCAACATGTCTAGCTGAATGTTACCTACTCATGTTGTCCTGGTTATTCTCATGTATTCTATCCCATGTATCCTTGCTGGTCGTCCTCTATCTACAAATTTCCTAATCACAGGATCTATCCGGTGCCTGAATTCGACCTGCTGTTAACATGACACGTCTCATCTCTCAGGATTAGTTGTAGAATGAGCCCGTTGGTTTCAGACTTTCTTCGTGTTGCGTATGCTCGTGGAACAGAAAGAGTAATGTTTCAGGTGCGAAGGGAGCTCACGTTTTGTGTGCACCCAACGATGAAGAGTGCAGGCTTGGGACTCTGGATGCTTTGGTTTGGCCAGGTATGCCACGCACGCACTGATCGGTATAGCAAAGGTGCCAGCTAAAAACAGCTGGACTTTGTTAGAGCCGTTGCTTCGAAACAAATACAGCTACTGTTATTGCTGAGCTGCATTCTGACGTCTTTTGCGTGCGGCCGACAGAACTTGCATCTTCAGTCCCTGTGATAACACATAACATAATAACCCATTTGTTTTCATAATTTTATACTCCCTCTGTAAAAAGGGCGTACCCAGTGCAGAGAGCTCCCGCTCTGTACGGGGTCTGGGGAAGAGTGTCAGTGGCAAGCCTTACCCTCGCCTGTGCAATGCGAGGAGACCATGACTCGAACCCGGGACCTTCCGGTCACAGGCGGTAAGACTCTACCGCTTGCGCCAGGCCCGCCCTTCTATACTCCCTCTATCCCAGATTAAATCAATTTCTACTGTTGTCCTAAGTTAAACTATTTTAAGTATGACCAATTTTTTATAGAAAAGAGCTGGCAAATATTTATGACACCAAATTAATATAACTAGATCCATCATGAAATATATTTTCATAATTTACTTATTTGGTGTCATACATGTTATCTTTTTCAATGTTTATTTGTCAAATTAAGATAATTTGACTTAGGTGCTTCTAGGAATTAATTTATATTGAGATCGGAGGGAGTATCAAATTCGTGTCAACCATGCGTTCCAAGGATGAGGTGCATGCAATAGCCATTGATGATGCTTATACCTCAGCCCATTTATGTTTCTGCCAAGGCTTGCCAACTGAGCCTATCGGGCCAGAAATTTTTAGGCCTTCTCAAGTAATTAAGCCATTGAATCAAGATCCAGTTTGAATCAAGGCCTTGCCAACTGAGCCTATCGGGCCAGAATTGCTGATGTTATTTCCAAGGTCCTCTCCCAGGATAACTGCAACACCTTTTCTTTGAAGAATGCTGGTATCGAGGTAAGCTGCTCTAGACTTCGGAAACGGCTTGCTGCTCAACAGTAAAGTTCAGCTGGCCTCACCGAAGGAAGGCAGAAAACACTAAAAGGGAGTTTGAGGAGTTCAAGAAACAGCAACACTAGGAGAACAATAAGCTCCGTGAGCATATCATGCTCTTAAGCGCTCTTGGTGATACAGTGAACATGTGTTTTGTTTGCTGTTTTGACGTGCACTAGTGCGGCGACTTGATATGTGAATTTTGTCAGTGGTTTGTTGCTGAGCTGAACTGCTGTTATTTGATTTAGGTTCAATATAATTATGTATGTAGTCATTTTGTGCAGCAGTGTTGATCTAAAATCATTTAATTTGATGTAATGATTGGTGTGCACGTGGTAGATCCGGCACATGCCAAGTCGTTAAATAAAAATCTGACACGTGGACAAACCAGTGAATGACACGTGTAAAAGCCAGGACAAGACATGTGGGCCAATACAAACCAAATACATGGTACAAATCCGTCCTGCCACGTGGTCGAATAAAAAAAAGACGCGTGGGTAATTCAGGGAGCGACATGTGTCCTAATAAAATACTAACATGCGAATGCACAACATTGTGACACGTGGTCGAGTAAAAGAAAGACACGCGGGGTATTGTGATCACGCCACGTGGACCAATAAAAATACGACACATGGTCCAATGAAGAAGTGACACCTGCTCCAACCGAAACGCGACACGTGTGCCAATAAAAACTTGACAAGTGGAACAACTGGGACCCGACACGTGGTCCGGTTAGATCCTGAAACATGCAAGGAAAAGGAAGTGCCACGTTGTCCAATAACTAGGTGACACATGACCCGAACCATCTCAATACAACCGCTATAGCATGTACAAGTGGAAAGCATCTCCAACGGAAGCACCCTTGGCCAACGTGGCTGCCCCCCGCCACGCGCATGCCAAAACAGTTCTATGACGGTCAGGTACCACTAGGTTTGAACTAACTTTGCATATGCATTGGACCTAGTGACGTGGTGAGGAAGCAAGTGAAAATGTTTTGAAAAATGTTTTTGAATAGCTAACTCAATGACTAGGGTGAAGGTGTTCAAGTTGGAAAACAATTGGAGTTATTAGCATATTTGAAAACCATTTGAGAGATGGACTAGGTGCTGATTTGCAGCACCCACCGATAGGGGGTCACCAGAGAAAGCAGTCCTCAGGTGCACAGTTAACATAGGCTAGGGTTTGCCACTGGAATAGTCTCGTGGTACAGGCCTCTAACAGCACCTGAGCAAGAGGTAGAGGGACCTTGTAGCTAGGGTTTGCTACCATAAATTTTCAGTGGCTCCTGCTACAGGGAACCAGAGAATGCGATACACGAGGAGTACACGTGGCAGTCCCCGGTTCAATGTGAGGAAATTCAAAAGTGGTGACCACTTGCTCCGGTGGGGGCCACCGGAGTATCCGGGTGATGCCCTAGAGGTCCTTAGGTGTTTACAATGAGAGGTTTTAGTAGTCATTGGATTAGTTCAGTTGTTTGCACCGGAGAGGCACCGGAGAAAAGAGGAAAGAGCTGTTGAAATTCCAATGGCTAGTTTTCTGTGGCGAGGCTTCTGAGGAGCCACTAGAAATAATGTCTGGTGGTGCCTTCCAAATAGGCACCGAGAATCACGATGTTCAATGATCAGATCAAATTTAATCTGGACCATTGGATCTTCGTAACCGATTCTCCGAGGGTGTTTTCCGGTGGTCATCAGACTTTTCCAGTGAATGCATTCGCATGCCACAAGCCATATTCAGCTTACAATAGATAAGAACCTGAATGAAATTAAACAAGGAAACCAAAGCAAATATATATATGAGATTTTTCTTATCACCTAATAGTCTAGTGGTCACAAGATATATTCGACCACCGAACTATCCAGTAAGTGTAACTATGTGAAGTTATAATTTCAGTCTTGTACTCACCAGATATTTAGATAATACATCAGATCATATTTTTCTTTGTTCTCCTCTTGAATCTTCATCTTAATGTCTTTTTACATACTATGTTCCTGTAAATATTGGATGCTTCACTGAAGTTTATGGGTTTTACGTCTGGAATAGACATGTTCAAGCGTCGGGTTGAGTCGGGCAAAAAAAAAAAAAAATATAGCAATTTTATCTAGCCCAAACCCGAAATAGGACCGCCATCAAATTAGAATTTTTGACACGTGCCTACAGGTCGGTTTGGGTTGGATTTTCCCCTGTTTTTGTGTAAAAAAATTATGGCCCACTAAAAGGAAACCGAGAGGCCGACCCAAGAGGAGGATAGCTGAATTGGGTCACTGAAGCCTTAACCTAGGCAGTGGCGGATCTAGGATTTAATGGAAGAGGGGGCTTAAGTCATCTTTAACCTCTAGAGGCCATCCTTTCTCTCTTTCATGTCTGCAAAAATTTGGAGGTGGGTAGGAGAGGCTTGAGCCCCACTCGTCCCACCAAATGGGGAAATAGGATCTGCAAATATCACACATAACAATGGAGTATTTTTCTAAGAATAATGCTCAAACAGAAATGTTAAATATATTATGATAATAAAGTATAGTTACAATGTGTGTGCCACCTGAGATAGTTACAAAGGCAAATTATGATGAGTTACAGTTTGCTTGCCATATAAACTATATTCATTTGGCACCTCATTATTGTATGAACCTGAAGAATGAATTCAAGTCTTCAAGAAATCATTCCAAAGATTCAACTATATATATACTCCATACTTCAGTCATAGATTGCTCTCTCTATATATGCTCACTAGTAACTGTATGTGATGTGAGTTAGGATTTGATATTATAATTAGCTAGAACTTTCAAATTATTCTAATTAGTAAGAGCTGCTAGCTAGCTCCCGGATGAGATACACGTCTACTACCGGAAGGCAGGGCCTCCAAACGGCGTCCAGAAATCGAGCGGCGTCTCACTGGCCACCGCGAAGGTGCTCGATATCGGGAGCAGGCACAGCCCTCGGCCAGTGAGTTCTCCGTTTACCGCCGCCACCTCGCCTCCATCCCTCAAGACCTGGACGTACGCATGGGGAAGCCGTTGTATATTGGTTAGTTAAAGTATGCAGGATGAGGCTATCTGAGATGAGCCATGCAGGAATATGCAGCAGTAGTAATACTACTGTAGCAGTACCTTGTGATGGGGCACTTGCTGCCTGTTCTTTAGGTAAGGAGCACTGAGTGACTGCATATATTCAAAAGCGTCCATTGAATTGAATATAATTGTGAGCAAAATTCAAGCTGGTAGATCCAAATTTCTACATATTATGATTAAAGCCTTAAAGGACAAGAGCTGCGTGCAGCAGCTAGATCAATCGCACTTACACCAACTTGCTCATGCAGGAATTTGATGTACTCGATGGTCTCGTGGAGCACCGATGCCGTATCCGTCTGTGCAGCAGCAGCACGCACGCCGAGGTTGATCGATCATTTGTTTTTTGCAAAGAGAATTTAATTTGTTAAAAGGTGTGGGCCTTCTGCAACGAGAGACTTATTGCATGGGGTATTGGACTCTGAAGTTTTCAGCTTCCAGAATAGTACGTAGTGCGTGGAAGTGCAGGATCATTAACCAAATTAAGACCTGGATCGCTTACCTTTCCAAAAGGGAGACTAGTTGCTGAAGTGCTGTGATTCTGTCACCAAGCTTCTCTTTCCTCACCTGAAGCATATATAAAACCCAAGTGGAGTATACATGAATGAGTGTATAGTACAGAAACTTTATGAAAGCAAAAATATATATGTGGCCATTCCATTTCCATATAGTTAGTCATGGAACAACATTAACTTTAAGGAAAAACAATTCAATTCCACAACAAATCCGGATGTTAGTTTTCCATGTTGAAATAGGATCTAATAAACTAATTGTTGTTGGTATGTATACCTTGAAGGTTGGCAATGGTGATGGTGTCCCTGTTCTCGATTTCTTGAGCGGCGGCGTTGGACCGATGTTCGTCCTCTTTGCAATGATGTTTCTAGAGTCTCCGGCACCTTCTAATGCACTCTACATGCATAGAACAACAAACTAAATTAAGGTTACAGGCTCAATCAGGACTGATCGGTAGGCACCACAGCACAACGGCGCAAAACATTCAGGCCATTGAAAGTTATCAAACAAAGCTGTGTGGCATGCAGTGATTGAAAGGTAACAAGAAGTTTTCAGCCAACTGAAAAAATTAGCAAAACCGTAACTATATATACTCGAACCTTGACTCCAAAATTTGCCGGCGTAGATTGCCCTGACGGTGGTCCGGCGGCAGTCCCTAGTAAGCTTGCTGCCCCCTCCGCCGCCGAAGCAAACCCACCGGCAGAAGGGTTGTTCCAAAACGGCGTGCTACTTGTGAACTGCAGAGCCTCCCTGATGCTTCCAGCTGACGATTGGTTCATCGTCTGCAGCTGCTGGTATTGCTGCAGGAAGCCCGGCGAAGTCTTGGCTGCTGCCGATGGCTCCGTGAGGCTCCTGAGCAGTGAGGAGGTCCGGAAGCCGCCGGAAGACGAAGTCGGCGACGAGAGCAGCTCCAGCCCAAGGTTGGACAGGAACTGGTGGTTGGGATCATGGGCGTCCTGTAGCATCAAGCTGTTGTTGTGATTCGATGAGGGGCTCCTCAGACCTACGTGATGAGACTGCTGGTCGCTTCTTGAGCTCATGTAGCCATGGAAACCAACAGATCCATCCCTAAGATGGCCAGGCATAGATACATATGATCATGAATAAACTTTCGAGAAGAGCACAATATATAATAATTTCTGGAGTAGTAATAAATTAAACAAACAAAGGATCAGAGAGAAGAAGCAAATTGAAGTATAGATGAGACTCACAAGTAGTAAGAAGGCTGATTCCAGCTGCTGGCGGCGAGACCAGACGCCGCCGGGTGCGGCGGCATGGCGACCACGGTTTGATCGGCGACGGCGCCTGCAGGGTCTTGGAAGGTTATGGAGCTGCCGCCGGTGGCGAGCGAGTGGTTGGACCCGGGAGACTCCGAGGAGGCCGCGTTGCCGGACCTCGACTTGTTGCCTTCAGCAGACGACCAGCCGGCGGCGCCGAACCCGGCAGGTAGCTGATCCGGTGAGCACGACACCGCCGTGGTCCACCAATCGCCGCCGTGTCCGTGGCCCGTGCTGCCAGTGGCAGCCGCTGGTGGATGGATAATCTCCTGGTGATCTGCCATATCTGTCTATCTATCTACAGAGACATGGGGTCCAATCGATCTGTTATATGGGATCGATCGAGATCTTGCTTTGGCTAAATTCTTGGCAGTTTAGTTAGGTATGTAGCTAAGCTAGATAGGTATGGTAGATAGCTGTGGGAGAGAAGGGGGGCGGCCGCCGGGCATGCGATGCAAGAGTAGTGGCGAGTAATGAGTGTGTGGCGTGTGGTAGTGCGCGGCTAGCTGAGCTAGCTCTCTATCTATGTGTGGTGTGGTGTGGGACTGTGGGTTATGTGGTGGACGACTACTGTCTGGTGGGCAAGTAGGAGAAGTGAAGTTGAATCTCGAATGGATTTATATATATTTAGAGATCGAGCAGCAGTGGATCAGAGTGCAATGAAATGGTGGTTTTATATAAACTGCCGTCGGGCCGAGGAAATCAAGTGGAAGACGACGACGACAAAGACAAGGAGGAAGAAGAGAATTTAGGTTTTCTGACCGGCCAGCGGGAAGACAGAATGAAAAGGTTGTTTGAGGTGGCCAGGTCGTCGACGGTCTGTGACTGCGACGCCATTATCGTATGCTATTTGGCGCAGCTGGTTAATGGTTGCCTGCTGATCGATCTCTCATGCTGTCATCATACAAATACTACCTAGGTCTATTTTCGACAATACACGCGTGCATGTAGCGATGTATGTATAGAACACGTACGTCCCCTGTCTGAACATGTACGCTGCTCCCCTTACGTAATCTCCAAAATGCATTTAATCGATCATCTAGCTACATATAGTAATCTGCATGTTTTTCTATTATATTAATTAGATTCTCATGTCCCCCATTAGAGGAGGTAGTAGTATCACACCTAACGCTATTAGTTGTTTATATATGTGCTGCGGTGTGTGGTCCTCTCTAATCTAATCTATCTGAGGTGTAACCCTACTTATTGCCCTAAAAGACAGGTATGTGTTTTAATCCTACTCTCTATGCAGTATGCATATGGAATCAGATAGTTGCACAACAATACTCTTCTCTCCTACTAGCTAATGCTGCATCGATACATCCGTCGAGCCCAGACAGGGTTAACCCATTTCTGGAGCAATTAATGATAGATGGAACTGCCACAGCACAACCATAAACTTGATCATCGAGATAATCCTGACAGTCGCACAATTTCCTTTTTCAAGAAAGTAAGCACCGTATAAAATCAAGGTGCTCGAGGGAATCAAGATCATGCTTACAGGAAGCACGTCGTCTGGATTCACAGCTCACAAAGAGTTTCTGCTGCTCTTCCAGAACCATTACCCATGGCAAGGAATGATTTGCGTGGAACTTGTTGATGTAGAAGTACTGCTAGTGGTTTAGTTCAGTCTTTAGTCATTTCTAGTATGGCTGGAAAGGTCTATGTTTGTAAGATACTATGATTACTCTGTACCGATATAGATGTTGGCTCTTTAAGAGCAAGTATGTACAGCTATACAGTGGTGGGCACAGATAGATAGAAAGTGGATGTGAGGAGTCATAGAAAAGAGAATATGGGATATAGTTAAAAAGTAGTATCACATTATAATAAAAATGCCTTTTGTAGAAAAATATAAATTGTATAGCTTGGCTCTCTTACAACTTGATTTTATTATAGCCAAGCACTTAGCTCTATTTGGGCTTGCTATAATGCGGGGTCTAGTCTAGCCTAGCTAGTCGCTTAAATCAACTAGATTAGTCTAGTTATGATCCTCGCTGTTTTTCTTCCTATTTCTAGGTCCCAAAACTTTATTTCCGTTATCATTATGAAAAATGTAACCACTGTAGAGAATATATATACTCCATCGGTGTGAATGTAATATTTCAACCAAGGGCGTGGTCGGCATTTTAGAATGAGTAGTACTCATAGAAATAAACCTCCAAAAAATATTGGCCTTGCATGAACATCAATGAACAAAAAAAAAAAACAAGTGAGTGCGAGAATCCTTTCTCTTGGCAAAGCATTGAGCCCCATAGCATCCAAGCAACACAAACACACCATATACACTTATTAACTCCAATAACAAAATATGGCCACATTAACGAGACATCAAACATATGGTTTTACACCAACCACCTCTAGCAAACCATCTACAATAGGAGTAGGGGCAAAATTCAATTGGCCACAAGTATAGTACTACCTCATCTATATCTCCATGAGTCCAGACTTTTCATACTTGTTCTCATCAACCAACATGTGCCAGTGCCACGGTGCTAAACCCTGGCAACCTTCATCCCTCCACCTCATCTATAACCATCTATATTATGCACACATCACTCGTATGTTTCCCACCAGCCAAAGTTCTATTGTAGTCCATCCTTGTGACTTAAAAGAGGCCACGAAAAAAATTATGTTGTAGATTGCATTTTCAAGCTTGCATATTGTTTTCACTTTTGAATGAAACATTGTTCGGACTATACAGTGTGTTCACTAGTACTTAGACTATATAATGTGCTCACTAGTACTCCATACTTCTGTTTTGAGTTCAAATGTTAGAAATGCGTATATCAATTGCTACTACATAAGACATTTTGGAGATGCTCAAATTTGATTTGTAGGGGCAACCACATCTACCGGGGGTTTATAGAAATAAAACATTTCTAGATGTTGGTTTGCAACTATCCCTAGAAATTGATTTTTAGGAGTAGTTAATATTTGGAGCATCCCTAAAAATTAATTTCTATAGGCGGTTAGAAACACCAACCGCCCTAGAAATTAAATTTCAGAAAATAAAAATTGGTCGTAAAAAGTTGCAAAAAATAGAGCTTTGACAAGCCCACTAGCAACACACTGCGGATGTGTATCGCTAATCCTAGGTCACACAAAATAGGCATGCATGCATGTGGTCGCTAGGATTGTCTCACTATGCCTCTCTACCACCACACCACACACTCACTTGAGGCTACATATATCATGTTTTAAGTTTTAACCTTTTTGTCTTAACTTCTATGGATCTTATATTAAACATTTGGAATCTAGCTAAACAATCTCAAATTGAAGAAAAAGTTTAACTATACAGCTTTAGATCCCATCAAGCACTACATCACTCTATCCATGCTTAGTGCTTCTGACTGTCCCTAGAAATGTCTCTATCTCTAGGAAGATCCGTAACACTAACCGCGTGTAGAAATATTATTTCCAAGACGTCTCCGAAAACAATGAATAATAATGCCCTTCGTATTAATTTGTTTTTTTTTTTACGGAGAGATAGGTTCGTGCGTGTGCGTTTACTGGTACTGCCAGTAGTGCTCACTCTGCCGGGAGTATACGTACAGGCCGTACTCAGGACTGCGGCCGGCCTGCAGGAGAGTGGCTGCAGAGTGGAGTGGAGTGGAGACTGGAGAGGGACGTGGAATGCAGAGAATTCGGCAGGGGTTGACGTCACGCTGACGAGCAGTCTAGCTACTACTCCGTCCTGCAGGGCCAGGTGGGCGATGCGTCGCGTCACGGCCGCGGGCCCCGGCCCAGGAGGTCGTGGCACGCGTGCCCGCGGAAAGCAGCAGCGCACTCACGCGCTCTATGTGCACGCGTGCTACACGTACCGGCCGACGACGTACGCACGGCACGGCAGGGCCATCGCCCATCGCACACTTGCCGCTGCGTCTACGCGTGACTGCGTCTGTGTGCGTCTCCGGCCTCCAGACCCCACGTCGTCTCCCTTATTACGCGATCTACCACTAGGCACAATTCTATCTGAAGAGAGAACTTACGTAAAGCTAATGAAGTGTTATTTTACATTTTACAGTTCTTATATGGGCCAAACACCGGCACATATGCATTGCAGAAGGACTAACATGTTTCTGGCCCTATTCGCTTGAATTACTTATCAACCATGGTATAGTATTTTTCTCTCACAATGAAACAGCATCAGCCGGCTTATGAGCGGTAGAAACCATCAGCCGAACAGGGCTGAGTTTATGGCCCAAAGTTTATATGGACTTGTATTTGTTTTAATTCTTGTGTGTTGGAGCGGATTGAGATAGAAATTAGTTAATTTTCACTCTAATTCACTCCAGTACATATGATTAAAATGAATACGCATACAGCTATGTCGTCTAGTTTAGTCATCACGGGTGTTAACATCATACTCCATATGCCCCAAAATAGAAGTCGTTCTCGCTTTCCGAGAAGTAATTTTTTTTAACTTTAACCAATTATATACAAAAGAATATTAATATTAATAATACATAATTTGCATTGTTAGATAGATCGTTGAATATACTTTTATAATAAACTTATTTGGAGATATAAATATTGCACGTATTTTCTACAAAGCTAGTCAAAATGGAGAAAGTTTGACCTACACGTATCTCATAACGACTTCTATTGTGGGACAGAGGGGAGCATTACCCTAGCTAGGTAGCTAGGACATGCAGTTGATTGTTAGCCGAATGGGAGCATGTTTGGCATCAAAACGAGCAGTCCTCGGTAGGTCCATAAAGGGCGTGTTTGTTTGCCTGGATGAGGGCTAGATGTAGGCCCAGCGGCTGCAGGAGGCTATGTTTGTTTGCCTGGACGCATTTTGGGCCTGGCCCGCATGTTGCTTAAAGCAGCCGGGAGCCAGGCCCCGGGAAAAACGCCCCTCCCCTTCGTTTCTCGCGGGCACGGCTCATTTCGGCCTCTCACGAGCTCCTTTGGCCGATGGCGGGCTGCTGCTCCCGTTCGCGCACTATGGTGAAATTTCAGTCCTCCTCCCCGCTATGGTTCGCCTCCCTTATAAGCACAGGCGTCGCTCACTCTTCCTCTTCCTCCTCTCCGCTCCTCACTCCCTCCTGCTCTCCACTCTCTTCGGTGCGGTTGCCTCATCCTCCCTCGTCCGGCGATGCATGGTGGCGGCGGGGTCATAGACAGGCCTCGCGTGGCTCGCGTCGGCTGCTCCTCCTCCGTCTCGCCAGTGCATGGGTGCTGCTGCTCGTCATAGTCTTCTTCTTCCTCGAGACGAGCGGTGCTGCTAGTTGCTGTGTTTGTTTTCCTGGACGCGGGCCTATGGTGGACGTTGCTT